GTATGGTCGCATCGCGGAGTAGCTTGTTTCCAAAATTCGAGTTTTTATGTGGTCGACGACGCACGGTGGCATGTTCCCTTCCATCTTGCATGCTTCCATGCTTTTGTCGCGCCAACCATCGTTCGTTATCAGGCAACGCAGCCGTCGCACCTGCTATCACTGGTGGTTCGATTGGCTTCCCATACAGTGTCCAAAGAGCTGCAATACACTGTAATGAAACGCTGTGGCCAGTTGCGCCTGTCGGACGCCCGCCCTCTTCTGAATGCCGACCCTCTTTTCGCGTGCGTCATGGGAGGCAATAATCAGAACTGTCGACTTGGCAATCGAGCGCATCGAATTGCCTCATACATCAAGGCCCGTGCCTCTTCCGTTGCCAACATGCCTGCTTTTCGTGTGGAGGTCAAGCCAGCTTCTACACTGTAGACCAACTAAGAGGACACGAAGAGGTAGAGCAAGCAGCCAGACACTATCAAGGCATCACGACAGATAAAAATTCACACGTCAAGATTGTGGTAGCACCTGCCCGGGTTGTGTTGCAGTATGCACGACAACTGCAACGTGCCCTCGGGTTTGTATTGTATCACATGCGGCTATCCGCTCGATTGGATTTCTAAGACGGATCTACTATCCGCTTCAGTATTGGATTGGATACGTCGCTTGCCAACATTGTGCACCATGAAGGCGACGTGAGGTTCGATGTGGCGGCCTCACAAACACAATTGTTCAATGTTCCCTTGCTGAGACGCTGTCAGACCTCGTGATACACGCGCATGATTCGCAGCCAAAATCGTCTTGGCAACGATGCTCGTGCCAAAGCAAACCGAGAGAAAGGTTTTCTTGGTGGCTGTTGCTGGGATTGCAGGCCGGAGCAACTGCCACGTCATCCCGAAACCGTCGGCACATCCCGTTTGTATCAGTGTATCAAGTTGTCACGGCAAGCAACAGCCATCATCTCCAGCAGCAGCGGCGCATCACTTGGTCGACGACCATCTCGAACGCATTGATCACACCACGTATTCACTCCCGGCATCATCGCAGACCCAGCCGAATTCCCCAGCTGGGCAGCGAGGAGCCAAGGGTGCGCATCGCCTCCAGTACGTCAAGCCACGCTGTGCTTGTCAAAGCTCGTCGAAGTCCACTCGGAAAGAAGATAACTATATATCCATATATTACGAGCGCGTGGTTTCCAGCACAAACGAGGAGGATACGACCTCATCTTTACAAGGTGGTGACACCGGCGCGGACACCGCCGCGGATGAGGAGGTCGGCCATCTCTTCGCGGTGGGCGAGGTTGGACGCACCAAGCTCGCCGACGAGCGCCTGCACCTTCTTCTCCTGCTTGAGGTACGAGACGGCAATGTTGGCGAGGTTGCTCTCCGGAAGCGTCTCGACGTACTGGAGGCCCTCGCGGTACACAATCTTACTGGCGAGGCCCGCCGCGACAATGCACTTGATGTACGCAAGTGGCACCTGGGCGTTGACGCGGTCGAGAGCCACGGCGCGGAGCTTGGCCGGCAAGTGCTCGGCGATGAGCGAGTCGAGGAGCTCGCGGTTGTCCTCGGCGATGTTGTCAAAGTTGGCCAAGATCGAGTCGTGGAGGCGCGTGATGGCGCGCGAGATGCGCTCCGACGACGGCGGGAGCGCCGCGTTCGGGTTCTGCTTGTACTCGCGGAAGAGAAGCTCGGCTTCGACGAGCGCGAGCTGGCGCAGCTTCTTGACGACATCGTCGACGAGCTCGTCCTTGATGTCGAGGAACTCCTGGGGCTCGAGGAGCATCGACGAGACGATCTCGTACGACGAGCAAATGACACCGCACTTGTTGGCCGACGAGTCCTTGACAATGACGACACCAGCGTTGTCAAAGAGGAGCTGGCGGGCTTCCGGCGTCGTAAAGAGGTTGGCACCCTCGACAATCAACGGCGACGACGCCTTCCCGGTCGCCGGGTCGAGGTACTCGCGCCAGTTGTGCTCGTTGATCGTGTTGGGGCGGCCACCGGCAGGGATGAAGAGGTCCGACTTGACGCGGTTGTGGAGCGAGTTGCGCGCACGGATGCCTTCCGGCGTATCCGCCAGGATGACGTCGCCCTTCTTGGACGCGTCAAACTTGGAGAGCGGGAGCGACTCGTCGACGAGGCGAAGGAGCTCGTCCATGTCGATGCCTTCCGGCGACTCGACCGTCGCCGTGCCGTCGCAGATGCCGACAACGCGGAAGTTGGAGCCGTAGTCGCGGGCAAGGATCTTGATGATGTTGCCGGCCACGTCACCGTCCGTACCACCGGTAATCTTGACCGTGAACGGCTGCTTCTTCGGGTCAATGTTCTGCGAACGAAGCGCGACATCGGCAAAGACAGCGACACCCTCCGACGTCACGCCGTACACCTTGTGGTTGATACCGACGTCGGGCTTGGACGAGATGAACGCACGCGGAATCGGGTACCCGCGGTACGCCGCGCGCTTGGTCATCCACGTAATGTCATCCGGAATGATGTTCTCGTCCGGGCCGAGGTAGATGAGCTCGTCCTTGCCGTAAAAGTCGACGACCTGGCTCTTGACCGCCTCGTCCGTCGTGTTGAGGTCGAGAAGCGCGTCCGAGAAGGCCTTGACGCTCTTGCGGATGATAAAGTTCTTGGTCACCGGGTCGTTGTACACGTGCGGCTCGACGAGCACGACGGCCTTGGAGCCGCCTTCGGGGATATCCTTGTTCTTGAGCTGCTGGGCAAACGCGAGGTTGTACGCCTCGTTGTACTGGCGCGCGCTCTCGAGCGCATGCGCATCGGCCGACGGCGGCGACACGACGCGGAGACCACCGCGGGCAATGTCGCGGAAGCGGACGTGGAAGCCCTTGAACTTGCGGCCGTTGATGAAGAAGACGCCGTACGGCGACTCCTTGCCGACCGTGCCGTAGCCGAGGACCGACGGGTCCATGCGGAGCGCGAGCGCATAACGGTGCTTGACGTAGCGGTTCGTGCGAAGCGTGGCGCCAACCGCGTCCACCATCGTGTTGAGGAGGCGGATCGTGTCCTCGGCCTCGACGTTGCGGCGGATCTCGACCTTGATGGCCTCGCGGCGCGTGTTGAACTCGTCCGACGACATCTTCTTGGGCGCGTTCGGGTCAAAGCGCTCGAGGAAGAGGTCGGCGATCTGGGCCGCAAGACCGACGTGCTGCGGCTGGTTGAGCACTTCGAGGATGCGCGGGAGCGAGTACGCATACGGGTCGACCTTGGCGAGCATACCGTGGAGCATGTGGGCGTACGTCGTGATGATCTCGGCGTGCGAGATCGAGACGTTCTTGTGCTTGAGCGCCATGTTGAGCGGGCGGTCGTCGAGCCACTTGAGGTACTTGAGGTCGGCCGCAATCTCCTTCCAGTCGAGCTTGACGTTCGCGCGGTGGTCTTCCTCGCTCGGCGAGACAAGGATGCGGACCATCGAGACCGTACCGTTGCCCGACTTGCGGTCGTCGACCACGTCCAAGTGCGCGCGGCGAATGTTGAGGTTCTTGAGGCTCAAGTAGGTCGCCGCACGCTGGAGCGTGTGCTTGGTGAGCACGTTCGAGCACGCCATCGTGAGCATCGTCTGCGGCACCTGGCCACCCGCGAGCTTGTTCTCCTTGTCCTTGTGCTCCCAGCCGTGCTCGACGTCGACGACGACGCCTTCCGTGCCACGGACGCGGTTGAAGAGCGCCATCTGCGACGCGAGGCGGCGCGGGTTGCTGTACTGGATGTACATGGTGTTGCACATGGACGCAAACTCGTCGACGGCAGCGGGCTCAAAGTAGTGGGCAGCCGCGGGGATACCTTCGTCACCCTTGTGCTTGCCGTCCTGGATCTCCTTGCAGAAGGCCTGGAGCGACGAGAGCGCCGCCTTCTCCTCCGGCGTCGCGTTGCGGAACGGCTCCTGGCGACCAAAGCGGAACACGTCGAGCGCCAACGTGTCATCCAGCGACGAGAAGATCTTGACGCGCGCCAATTGACCGATCGACGGGTCGTTCGGGAGCTGCTCAATGATCTTGGAGAGCATGCCCGGGTACTGCTCGCCCGTGCGGATGTACGAGTAGACCTTCTTGTCCGGCGAGCTCAAGAGGATCTCGGGCTGCTGCGCGTTCACGAGCGACGTGATCGCGTTCAAGTGGTGCAGGCGGTCTTCCTTCGTGATGGCGCGGAAGTAGGCCGCCGGCATGTTCTCGAGGAACCATGGCACCGTCTTGGCCGCGGTCTCCTTCTGAAGCGACTGCAGCGACTCGGTCAAGTCGTCCTTGGATTCCGCCTACACCATCGAGCCCATGAGCATGCTGCATATCAATCGATTCCGGGCGATCGATGCATGCTGCATCGCGCCATCCTCCGCATGGAGCTGGACATACCGCCGACGAGAACGGGCGGGCCGCGCTGGCGGGCGCGACGAGCGAGCGGAGCGAGGCCGCGGGCGTCTTGGTCGAGATGCGCTGCAACATCTTGGGGTCGGGGAGCCAAACAAAAAATGACTGGGAGCTTTTTCCTCCGCGCCCCTCGTTGCGTTGGACGGTATTTTAATGCGTCTGCCTACAAAAACCAAGCGAACATAAAGATATGGCATTTAAAACGACCCCTCGCGACCGTTTGGCCCGCTGCCGGTATCTTTTTGGCCAATCAGGGGCGCGCGCCGGGATCTTTTTGGCCAATCAAGTGCGAGAGCGAAGTTCGAAGTTGCGTTTGGGCCTTTGGCGCTGCCCTCGTAAACGCACCGTGTCACTGTCAACAGGTGCATGCGCGAGGTTCAACCAAGCGCCGTCGTCGCATGGGCCCACAGCTTGTCGGACCGAGAGCTTGTGAGAGAACGAAATGCTCCTACGAGCTCCTCGTCGGTTTCTCTGCTACTGTGTCATAGTCGGAGCTGCGCGTGGAGTGGGCGCAGAAACAGGCGAAGACGGGCGCACGGTTGAAGAAAGGCCGCGTGCGTGAGACGCTACGTGGAGGCGCCATGGGTGGCGAGGGACATGTGACGCTGAAATCTTCGCTCGTCACTTGGCCAGCAGCCATTACAGCGCGGGTTTCCTGGTGCGTGATTGGATCGCTGGGCAAAACCTGTGAATATTAATATTAGCAAGGCGATGCCAACTTCAAGCCACTGTGGCTGAAACGAAGGGACGCCGACTGCCGTGCAACGCTGGCCGATGGGGAGCGACGACTGCATGGCTTCGTACCATGTACTACTACTATTCGACCGACGGCCTGGAAATGGCCAAGCTCGGGGTATGACGCCTACGATTACGATTAATGGTGTTATGGTCATGGACAGGATCGGGCTCCGGAAATGGACTTTTTTCTGGTGCAACGATTACACGTAGGTAGAATATAATATCGCTGGGTATATATATCTACTGACTGCAGCGACGACGACTGCACAAACAGGCGCTCGTTCACTTTGGTTCGTTTGGCGCCACATCGAATTGGGCAATCACGACCGCGGCCGCCGTGGCGCCAATCACATGTGACTGTCCAGATTCCCTATTTCTGATTGGCGCGTTTTCGCCAATCAAACATTCCCATCACCTGCGATTGGCAGGGACATCCGAAGTTCGAAGGCTGGAGCTTGAAGTTGGCGCGTTGAAGTTGGCGAGGAAGTCCTTGTCACAAGGCACGGGCCAAAAAGATCAAGACCGGACGAACCCCTCGAGGCAACTGCTGCATCCACGATGCGTCGAGTGCGATGCATCACCGCACTGGTGCCAGTCCTCGATCTACGCAGATCTATAAGCACCAATGCGTCGCGAGCTCGAAGGAAGCGGCGAAATCGGCCAAGTGGCGCAGGCAGCCCGGTGCACGGCAGGAACGACAGCCTTGGCGGCCGCGCGGCACGGCCCACACTCGTGAGCCGGGGACCTTTGTGGTCCTTCTCGACGCCGCTCGCAGTCGCCTACGCGCATGATCCATGCTGCCGAGTGCTGCGATCTCGACGATAGCTCGACGATATACGGCCGCCATCGCGTGCAAAGGCTCCACTTCTACTGGTGTACTTGGGTGCCGCGACATTGATGCTACTAGAATGGTCTTTGAACCGCCTTCTAGAGCAGCAACGCAAGTAGCGATCGAGCATGTCAACGCTGTGATCGCCTTCGTTGATGGAAGAGCGCCATAGAGGTAGCTTGCTGGATGATCCAAAAGCAAGCGTGTCGTAGTAGTACGGAGAGCTGCAGGACGACTTTGGTGGTCGATGGCTTGTATGCCTCGTTGACACTGACTGGCGAATCTCGACATGACAGCTTTGAATTCTTCGGAGGCTATGCGCCGGGATGCAGCCCGCGATCGCCGGCGCCATCAACGTCGTCTTCGTCAACATGACGTTAATAGCACGTTGCGAATCATAGCTCCAGCGCCACCGACCCAGTTTGCAGCGCTGGAGTGAGTTTGCTCGAGGGTGCATAAATTCAATCGTTAATTATGTACTCTTGGTTTGCTACATGCCTCCTTTGTTCGTACGCCGCCATGCGCCAAACGACGTGCAGCGAAGAAAGAGATACCAAATGGGACGAGCTCGTACACAGATTCTACTCGCGGTAGCTCGCATCGAGCTAAAGCGATCGCTCGGCATATGTAGCAATATATATATGAACGTGTTTCGCGTTAACGTTATCTTGGTTGTTGCAAAGAGTTCGCCTACGTAGAGACTAGCAATTTCCTAATTCTTCATTCGCTCGCCGAGTCATGGCTGCGGCGGGTGCATCTTGCTCTTCTCTAGTCGCCCTGGCGCTTGCGGCCGCGCGTTCGGCTCATGACGACAAGCTCCATTCAGACTTCCCAGGCGACGCGATCGGCGGCAGAGCTACGCAGCTTGTTGAGGTCATCCAGAGACGCCAGCGACAGAGGTGGCGTCAGAGACTCATACTAGTATGTGGAATTGGAGTAGAATCCAAAGAGTCCCAAGTGGTCGGGCTTCCAGGTCGATGTTCGATGTGGTATGTCTGTTTCACAGGAGACGACGACACGAAGAGCTGCTACACTACACTCAAGACAAAGACGCGAGGACGAACCCTACGGAGCGCATTGCGGTGGATCTCGATTGGGCAACGCGTGTGCTGTGTGCTACCTTGGGTTTCAAGGGCTGTATGTTAGTGACTGACACTCGCTTCGTCCACATCACTCGCTCACCGGACTTGCATCGGCGTCCTGCTCGTCTCTAGTCGCATGGAAAATACGATGCGGCCACGGAGAGACTCGAATCGTGTACCGCGATGGCACTTTGATGTGGCGACTATGGTCCCTTCAACGATGTCACGTCATCAGAAGTACTAGTAGGCTCGATTGTATTTGAGTTGCTCTCGTGTGGCGCGAAAGCAACTTTGATTCGCATGCAATGACCCGAACTCTAGCGTGCCCATGATGGACTTGCCACGTCCCATTAGGCATCTCTAATGATTAGTTACTAAAGTTTTGTGGTGTCAATGGCGCTTTGAAATGGCATTGTCCACGCAAACATAGCCGGACCCTTGGAGATGCTTCCTCTTCGATTTGCAGTAGCAACACGAGCCGAGACGCAACACCGTGCGTGCTCAAGCTGCTGTGTCTGTAGTCCACCAACACAGTGATGTGGCTTACTTCCAACTATGCTGCCTCCTGGATGGGTTCGATGATCTTCGTTGTTGACTGTGAAGTAGGTCGTCTATTTAAGTAATGATGTCGGACTTTTTGTTGTTGTGCGCACTCGGTTGAGAGACGTGATTTAGGTAAACGGAGAGAGGAGCGCGATCCGCGGAACAAGATGCCGGCGCGGCCACTTGTGTTGGGCGACGAGCCGGAGACGCCGACGAAGATCGGGCTCCTCGGGCTTTTGAACAAGGCTGAGGTGCAGGTGCAGTTGAGCGACACGCGCCACCTTGATGGCAATCGTCCATGAACTTGGCAGCGGTAGGCCGTAGCGAAAGACGCGATCGATCGCTCCGGACATCGTTGGTCTTTATTTTACGCCTTGTACCATCACATGACGTGGCACGCCCATGGACCAGAAGCGTTACAAAAATATCTCGTACCGACACTCTGCGAAGGTCATTCCTTCCTACAGGGATCGACAAATATTTCGTTAGGAGAGAAGAGCGTGAACGATGTACACGGTTGTTGCACGCACACTGACAATTCGCAAGGTACCGGTCTCTTCTAGTAACAATGGAGCGCTTCATTGAAAACACCTCATGGCACGCTTTCTCGTGGGATCATCGCAGTGTTCCACCACCACAGCCATCCTGCGCCACGGTTCTTATCTGTCTTGAAACACGACCGAGTAGTAGTAGTAGTACAATGTATCGCAATCGACTCGTGACTCGCTAGTTCGTTTCCGTTCGGACTTTTGTCACCTGTTTATGGCCACGGTGGGGGTCGTGATCGCGTTGTGGTACTAGTACTATGTACAGTGTCTGTCACAAGCACCGCGGAGTCCACGGCGACGACCTCTACCACTCTGCATTGCAGACGAGCCATGCCGTGCGTGCCCTCTTCCCGCACGTTGCCACTTCTCGTGTTTTTCCAGATTTCGTCAACAGCACATCTTGAGTTTTGGACCGCTATCTATCCTAGTGCACCTGCTTGTACACTCTGTCTACGCAAGACAATCATCGCGTCGATGCCGAGCCGTCCGATAACATCATCTTTGATTATCTTTGTCCACGTACACCATGTCTCGGAACTCAAAAGGCATCAACACATTGATAATGCCCTACCAACTATGTACGCTTGATATTGCTTGGATGCAGTGTCAAGGTAGAGACATCGCTCGAGACGGATGTTGGCTAATGCTGCCCTATATCGTGGTCCAACCGAAGTCGCTGCGAATCTGCGGCTCGCTCGAATCGCTCGTTGAAGACGCCATGTGTGATCACGCCAGGTGGGTGATGCCGACTGTCGCCAACCACATCACTCATCCATCGCGATGCGCCCACGCAAGAACGAAAGCGAAGCTTCTTCGTCCAAGGTGTGCGGTCCGCGAGCCAGCGCTCCGCCCACAACTGCGTGTCTAACAAGAGAATGAAAACGAAACTTTTCAGAATGTTGGTGTTGATGGCCAGCGGGGCGCGCGGGAAACGTTACGAAAACGAGTTGCGCGCCCAATTTGCCACGTGGCCGCTCCTTCCAGGTGCCGACGCGACTACAAATGCCGAGTCGAAGAGCTTGTAAAGTAATAGCTCAACGTCGAATGTTGGTGCCAACTAGAATGACTGTCATTGCACCACTGGATCGGGTTCATAGTGCAAATGTCGACGGGCATGCCACCAGCAGGTACCGGTCGTCTGCACGTGGCACGACCTGCTCACGGCGACTAGGAACGACGCTTACCAGTGCGAGTGCGACGATGGACGATGCTTTCTTGGGCCGCGATGACGCCTTGACGTCTCTCTTGCTCGATGATGCGTTCGCCTCGACCGCCGACGCGTTCGCCGACGATATGTTCCTTTCCGAGTGCTTCTTTCCACCCGCCAATGAACACAATGACGCGTCGCCCAAGACGACGCGTCGACAGGTGCGTGACCGCCGGCACCGCGCCAAGATAAAGTCGGAGCTCGACACGCTCCGGGAGACCGCCGCGTCGCTCACGCAGCGCCTCGAGGCGCTCCAGACGACGCAGCTGCACCAAGACGAAGCATCGTCCGCGTGGCAGCAGCGCGCGCGCCGGCAAGCGACGCAGCTCCAGCGCTCGATTTTGGAAAACCACAAGTTGCGCCAAGCCGTGACCGGCCAGCTCTCGATGGCCCACGCCTTTCAACGCATCGTTGCCAAGCGCCCGCGCCACCCGGTATGTTCGTCTGCATCAACCCATGCTGACGCGATCGTACGTAGGAGCTGCAAGGCGACAGGACACTGCCGTTCTACAGCCTTATGCACGCGCCGTGTCGACGGACGAGCTTGCGCGCGCTCGTGACACGGGAAGTGTCGTCGCTCAACACGACGCTGCTGCGCTTTGGCCTCCTCGATGGCCCGATGCGCTGCGAGGTCGTGCGGCGCGATAGCATCTCGGGCGCCGTCGAGATTGTCTACAGCCGACCGGTGGCCCTCTCCGCCTCGGCGGCGGTCACGGCGCTCTGGCAGCGCTTGTGTGGCAAGGTGGCAGGCTGCCGCGACTACACGGTACAAGAGGACTAGAAGGAATTGGACGCCTTATCACATCTGGTTAGAGTCTGGAAGAATTCGAAGACGATCTCGGCTACGCGAAATACGCAACATCAGTTTTTGAGAGCCGCCTCGCGCTGCTACGCACTGCACTCGACGGGCATAGCGTGCTGGTCTGGCGCTCGATCCTCGAAGACGACCGTTTTCCCCTCGGCGACGACACGATTCATGACAACTCGAGCGGCTGGTATGGACTCGCATCACAAATGCATCCTTGCTTGAAGACAACTTGGCTGATGGCCCTTTGGATCGTGTAGGCTGCGGATCGAGAGCGTGACGGCCGCGACGTGTCATGTGACAATGGCCGTGCACTCGCTCGCCCCGCCGGACGCGAGTGCTTCGCCGCATGTGCACCTCGCCCACACGATCGAGACGTACCAAGTGCGTCGCGTCGACGGCCTCTTTGACGCGCTGCAGGTGCCGACCGAGCTGCTGTAGTCGTTTGTAGTTGGTTCATCGTTCGTCGAATCCAAAAAAGCCTCGTTGATGGCGTCCATATATATATATAGTCTAGTCGATGGTTTCTTCCGATGATTGGGACTCGAAGGGCATAATTTTAGCTTTGAGACGACGACCTGGACCGATGGCGGTCGCATCAACGTACTCGGGCTGGGTCAAGGAGCTCGAAGCCTTCAAGCCTACGACGAGCGACGAAGACGACGACGACGACGACGACGATGCCCGGGTCGAAGCGATCGCGGCCGAGTACGCACGCCCCCGGCGGGGACACTCGTCGCAGCTGGACGAGATCAAGCAAGAAATGAAGCTTCTCAATTGGCACAAGCTCGCCAACGAAGCCGCGCTCAAGGCCGCGCTCATCAAGACGAAAGTCTCTCGCTCGCCAACCTATTTCCCTGATCTCATCCACCTCTAGAAACTCAAGCGCGAAGACTTGCGCGTGGCGGCGATCGTCGACGCCGACGAGCGACACGAGCGGCGGCAGCAGATCGAAGAAGAGGAAAACATGAAGCCGCTCGAGGTCACGGCCGAGTTTATCCGACAGTACGAAGCCGACGAGCGCCGGGAAGAAGTACATTGTCTTCTTGTCCATTCTGTCTCTTACAAAATTTCACTCGGGTGTAGATGCGTCTTGAAAACAAGGTGGCGCGCCATATCAACTGCTTGCGGAAACTCAAGGGCATGCTCGCCGAGCGAGAAGAGCTCCGAGCGCGCCACTTGCGCTACCGCGACGGCCGCGCGGCCCTCGAGCGCAAGCTAGCTGGCGTACGACGTTGATGCACCACTTCACAAAGGATCACTCGTGTCTCTACCTGAGACTC